ATAATATTTAATTTTTGTTTCATGAAAATACATCTCTCTTTTACATATGCACACAAACAAAGCATTCTTACATATTTCATTATATGTACATATAAACACTTACGTTTATCGTGTTTACTTCAAATTAGTGTTTTTATTAAATTTTGAATTCTAATCTTAAATTGAAAACACACACACACACACACACATATATAATATAATATAATAAATTTAAAAAAATTGCTAGCATAAAATTGCATTTGAAAAAATGATTATACAAAAAATAATAATAGTACGCACGAATGTATGCCTCCTTTGAGTTTCCGACAGTAGAAAGTTGCTTTCTTAGAAATTTTTAATTTGCTTATTTTACAAGGGAAAATAATAGATCGTACGCATGTAAGCCTCCTGCGAGTCTACGACGATAGGAAGATGCTTTTTAAGAAATTTTCAGTTTACTTAATTTACAAGAAAATATAATAAAACACACGCATATATGCATCCTGCGAGTTTTCGTATGTAAGAAGTTGCTCATTTTGAAACTTTCAGTTTTCTTATAACGTTCAAGAAAAAATAATAAGACGCACACATGTATGCCTCCTTCGAGTTTCCGATAGTAGAAAGTTGCATTCTTAGAAACTTTTAGTTTACTTATTTTACAAAGGAGAATAATAGATCGCAGGCATGTACGCCTCCTGCGAGATTTCGACAAAAAAATTGCTTTTATAAAAATTGTCAGTTTGCTTAATTTACAAAAGAAAATAATAAAACGCACGTATGTATGTCTCCTGAAAGTTTTTGACGGTAAGACGTTAATTTTTTAAAAACTTTTACTTTGCTTAATTTACAAAAAAAATTAATAGAACGCACGCATGTATGCATTTTGCAAGTTTTCGATGGTAGGAAGTTGCTCTTTAAAAAATTGATAGTATGCTTAATTTACAATGAAAAATAATAGAAAGCATACATGTATGCCTTTTGCGAATACTCGACGGTAGGAATTTGCTTTTTAAAAATTTTTATTTTGTTCAAGTGAATGCGGGATCTTTATTCTCAAAGTTAGCGCATCCATTATATTTTCTCAAACGGCTGCGGTGAAAAAATTAAGATAGGCGCAATTAATAAATTACTAAACAGAAGTTAATTTCGATGCACATCCCATCGGATTGTGCTGAAGAGTCCGCGAGTATTTCAGTATCAAAGATAGCACATCTCATGATTTTTCTTCGAAACGGCTGCGATGAAAAAATCGGGATAGACGTGATTAGTTACTAAATCAAAGTTAATATCAATGCGCGTCCCATCGGATTGTGCTGAACAGGCTGCTAGTATTTCAGTATCAAAGACAGCGCATCCCGTGATTTTTCTTAAAATTTCGAAACGGCTGCGGTGAAAAAATCGGGGTAGGCGCGATTAATTAGTTACTAAACAAAAGTTAATTTCAATGGACGTTCCATCGGATTGTGCTGAAGAAGCTGCGAGTATTTCACTATCAAAAGTAGCCCATCCAATGAGTTTTCTTCGATACGGCTGCGGTGAAAAAATTGGGATGGGCGCGATTAATTAGCGACTAAATCGGTGTTAATTTTTATGGAAGCTTCATTTGATTGTGCTGAAGAGGTTGATTATTGAGTCTTTTTCGTGACGCTGATTGGTTCTCTCGCTGTGCTAACTTCGTGAGCAGCTGTCATTACATTGACTTTTGACAGTTTGATGTATTGATGTTGATGTATAATTATTCTTACATATCTTATTGTACATATAAACACAGACGTTTTTCGTGTTTCACTTTGAGCTCACGTTTTTATTATAGTTGGAATTCTTAAATGGAAATTACATATATTTTTATTTGTTCATATGAGAAAATTCTAAATTTATGTAATATATAATATAATATAATATAGTATAATATAATAAATTAAAAAGAAGTGCCAGTGTAAAATTGCATTTAAAAGGATTTATACTTTGAGGCTTCCATGAGAAATATCTAACAACTTTATTATTATTATAATTACACAGTTATATTTTGTTCATGCGCAGCATAAAATAGAACCAAACAATATACACGGAACAAAGTCGAAGACTGTATTACTTTACGGAATACTTATTCGTAATCTGAGATGTGGGAGAACATGATTTTCGAATACGCAATTTTTCGAGAATAAAACCCTAGCAGTCTCGAAAGATGTATATAGCACGGACACGCACCACAAATATCCGCGGTGCAGAAAAGTAAATGTTGCTACGTAGTTTACATCCACTTCTTCAGGGGTCGTTAGTGCACGAGGGCATTTTGAGGTAATGTGCAAAAGGCCGTCAGTCCTCTCTTAGGTTTCTCTCTGTCGTTACTTGGAGTGTGATCAGAGGATGGTATAAGGTGCATGAAATTCAATTGAATTAGATCTGTTATTTTGATTTTACGGATGATTGATTATATAAATCCTTTAATTTTCTTTGGTAAATGCAATTTTACGGTCGATATTCGTATTCAGTCGACGACCCGGTATATCATGAAAGCAGGTTACCGACAATCAAACAAGCAACTATATTCCATCCATTTGATACGGAAACTTCATGAGCGAAGTTTATCAGATTCTTGTTTTCTATATAAATATATGCTATATAAATAAAAAAGAACTGATGTATTGCACATCTTGAAAAAAAGCTGATTGAGTCACAATCTTTGCTTGAATTCGCGATATACGCAAAGCAATTTCTCGGATCATTCATCTTTTGTCTGATTCTTCAACTATTGACTTTTCTTTAACAATAAATTATAATTTCAAGAAAAGTCAAATTATGTATTAATTAAATATAAAAGAGTATTTAAATGTTATGAATTGATTTATTTCTACATATCAATAAAAAATGTATTTATTATACTTTTTCTTTATTGAATTAGAATTAATTATATAGGCCATATAGTGCGAAAGTAAAAGTAAAAATTTTAAACAATATATTAATTAAAAGTAACATTATTAAAATTGTCAGTACTTAGACATATTAAAACTATTGCAAAACATTGTCTTGATGTTTGTGAGGCATTATATAGAAGCGGATACTCTTTAAGTTGCCCTAGTTTCTAAGAGAGGATTGTATTATACATCATGTTGTATTATGTGCTGTTTCTTTACTATATCCATTTATAGGTAAATTACATCAGTGTATTATAACCTTATAATTAATGCATCTACATTATGACGTCGTAACTGTTGCATCTCACATCATCGATCGATTTTCCAAAGAGCAAAAAGCCTAACAAGATGTGTGTCAATCAGAAATTGCTTAGTGCATACAATTAGAAAAGAAATATATATATATATATATATATATATATATTTCTTTTCTATTATAATAATATATATAAAATTGTTTTTTTAATGTTTAGGTTCATATCAAAAGAGGTAATTATGAAAAATAATAAAATAACACATATTCTATAAATAATTTATTTATTTATAATGCGCAATTATATATATAATATTTGGTTGCAATAGGCAACTATGACAAAAGCCTTTTATTATGTATTAAATATTATCTGGTCATCAGTAACGATTTTCGGTAACAAAATCGTTATTGATGAGCAAGTTATATTTAATAAATAATGACGTTTGTGGCGCGATATTATTTATTGCAATAAATTCTACAATTATGCATTGTAATGAACTATACGGAAAATCAATGCACTTTAATAAATTTTAATTTATAGACTTTGAATTTATGTCATAATAATATCAAATACATTAAATGTTTTTCTGTGAATAATAATAATAATAATAATAGTAATAATAATAATAATGTATTAAAGTTGTCTATACGTTGCTTAACCACGTCAACAGTTTTCCCAAGAAGGAACAAAATCATTCTTTAACACACAATATGAAAGAGAAAGAGAGAGAGAGAGAGCGATTTTCTAACGGTTCACTATCTTCTAAAGATAACCCGGCACGATAAATCGATATTTGTCCCCGTCTCTCTCTTTTTTTTTTTCTATTCTTCGTTACGTTCGATTGTGTAATGGGTCTGTACATACGCGACTGTGCCGTAACTGCAGTGCATACATGCACCGCACCCCGGGTCGGGGATTCGTGTCCGGTGCATCTGTTGCATCCCGCACGCAGGTGAACGCGCGCGCACGCTCCGCCGGGCGCGGGAGAACGGGTTCGAAGCGCGGGGGCGACCGGCGATGGTGGTGCTGCTGGTGCTGGCGGTGGTGATGGTGACGGTGGTGGCGGTGGCGGCGGCCGCTCTCGGAAGAGGTGGCCGCGCCGTGAAGACGCGCGGGGGTTGGAAAAACGATAGGGAAAGCTCGTAGCGGGCTACCGGTTACTACGCGGACGCATGCCCGCTGATAGCTCAGTGGAGCGCGCGACTTCGTGCCGTAAGCACATTTCCGAGTGAATCTCTTTTTTCTCTCTCTCTCTCTCTTCTCTCTCTCTCTCTCTCTCTCTCTCTCTCTCTCTCTCTCTCTCTACTCTACTACTACTACTACTACTACTACTACTACTACTACTACTCTCGCACACACACACACACACACTACACTATCTCTCTCTCTCTCTCTCTCTCTCTCTCTCTCTCTCTCTCTCTCTCTCTCGTCAAATGTGTAAGTGTAGGTACGCGTGTGCGCGTTTCTTTCTCGCCTCGCCTTGCTTCACTTCACCTCTCATCTGCTTGTCTGTCTCCACCTCAACCTCGCTCGTCGCCGCGAGGATGGCAGGCACGTTCGCCGGCAAATAAAATCCGTGTTGGGCGATGCAGCGATGGGGGTGGTGATAATCGCAGAAGAAAGGGAGTAAGGGGAAACGCGCATCCTGAGGGACTTTTTGTGCATTTTCACGAATGATATCGAGATAACGAGACTATGAACATAGATCGAAAGTGATAACGAGAAGCTATGAGAAAAGACTAGTGAATATGATTAGAGGAGTAATATTTGAAAATTTATAGATATCACACGTGAAAAAGTAGGGTTGAAAGGAAAGTGATATTTGAAAGAAGACGAAAGAAGCAAAGAAAGCAAAGGGAGAAGAAGAAGAAAAAGAGAGAGAGAGAGAGAGAGAGAGAGAGAGAGAGAGAGAGAAAGAGAGAGCTTTGATAATGTCTAACAGATCAAAATATCTTAAGTGTATGACATGTTTGTGTTTTCTCTTCAGATGTAGCGAATATTTCGTAAAGAGTGCGTTAGTTATCTTATTTCGTAAAAAAAAATTTTGAAATCAGAAGCTACGGGGCTTCTTGAAAATCATAACTATTGCGGATACCACCAAAAGAGAAGCAATGTGGTGAAGAATATAGAGCGAGAAAGAAAAATATCAACATATTTCTTCGTGAGATCTAGAAGAAAGAAACCACGCCATAATATTGAACACGAAATCTGCGAACAATAATGATCGAGGAAGACATAAAAAGGCGAAGAGAAGAGAAGAATTACGGGTTGACTTAAATGAATATATGTCACTAACATTAAGACGGAAAACAAGAGAAAAAAGAATGAAAATTATGAATAATGTCCCCACTTTCTTCCCTTTATTAAGCGTCAATATCACGAGATATTAAGGATACTTTAAACTGAGTTTTTTTATCTGATGTTGTAAAATGAGAGATTATATGAAAATTTTAGTGAAAAAAATCATTCGTATTATTTTTGTTTAATGTGCACACTTTACTTCTTCCATTGCTTTACTGTATTCATATCGATACATGTACTCTTGAGTGCATACCTCACTGTAGCATATACACGTCGCGATAATCCGTACAAATAACCGTATTGTAAAACAATTTAATCGGACATTCATGCCTTTACATATCCGCCGATCTTTTTCTCTTTCGGACAACCCCCTTTTCATCTGTCGAAATACGTACCGATATACGTTTATTTCTAACCCGATAGCCGGAACTGATAGAAAGGTTTCGCCAGCTGTTCGTCATGCAGAACTGTTACAGTTGCTTTCACCAGCTTTTCTCATCCGATGTCGAAGCGTGAATTTTCACATTGTGGAAGAATATCCGCATATTTCTGTTTATACAAATAAAACCTCATTGATTCTAATTTCACTTATTACAATTCCAATGTAGGGAAAATAATCTAAAGTAATTACATTCCTAATTCGAGAAATGTGTATTATGAGAATCTGCATATTACGTAAGAGAATATCAATTGTTGATCCCTTTAAATATATTTACGTGAGAGATGTTTATCTTATAAACAACTGACAATGAGCTAAACGCTATATGTATTTCACGAAATGGAAATGCGAGATATCAGTGATATATCCCATAGGAGGAAAGTATAATAAATATTTGAACAGCTATAGTATTTTTCCGAACCGCTATGCGATGACTCACACTTAAGTATTCCATTGTGCAGAGAGTTCTGCAAGCATTGCCCTGCATAGCAGGCGTTTCCAAAAATACACGTTTCGTTTTAGCGTTTCGCGCACGTCGATATGCAAACGCATCAGTAATTCATGGACTGTAGCTCGTTGCAGAGTTGCAGCAATAAAGAGAAGAAAACTAGGAAATTTATTAGAAATTTCCGAGCTGTAATGGGCGAAGAGATTCCTCAGAGTACTCTTTAATGCTATCAAATAATAAAACATTCTTCGCAATGATAAAATCGATAGACACGTTCTTATCTCTCCTTCTTATTTTCCCACTTCTTTTTCAACATTATATTGCTCTTCTTTCATTTTTCTTTTAGTGATAATATATTGATTATGAAATTAACGACGAAAGGCTAAATCTAATTTAAAAAAAATTATCCTAAAGTTCATTCCGATATTTTCTCTTGTTTTCGGAAATAAAGATGATAACACGAAATAAAAAGTATCGAGTGAAAATGAGTGTTTGCAAGACGGCGTGAACTATAAAGTGATTTCAAAGTGACAAGTATTGAACGCGATCAAACGGCGAGATTCTGCTTTCAGCTCCGACCTCTCCTTCCAGTTTTGCTTGTTCCGTTGTCAAGAGTATTGATATTTCGCTGAAAACACTCGCAAAGACACGCAACTGACAGCCAAAGCATGAGAGACGTATATTTGTCCCCGACAAAAGATGTGTCCAAGAGCTGATCTTAGGACTCGTTCATGTCACTTGCCGAGTGTCTGAGGAAGAAAAATAATAAACGGAAACCGACAAACACGCAGAGGATGGAAGCATGATTCTGATACCACGGGTCCGGCGAACTCGACGGAAAACTAGAAGAAGAGCGTCTTGAGGTCGAAGAGAGATATCAAAGGGAAGGGTGGAATGACGAGAGATTGCGGGGCTATGGATACCCGCGAGGACGGCGGAGTCGGTCGATCGCGAGGCTCGAATCTGTTGACTTAACCGTCTCCAAGGGGAGGCTCTCGGCATGCGTCCGGTGGAGCCGAACGGGACGTCGTCGTACTTCTGTTTAAGTTACGCATTACGAGAGATTACGTTCGCGACATGACTTCGGCAAAGAGAATTACCGCGTATCGTTGACGTCACTCGCGGAATATCAATGTCCTCGAGACGCGATTCGAAGGAAGACTCGCGCCTTTTGCTAATGCCATCGCAGGAGATTATTTCGAATCGGAGTCGAACCCTGATATTTTCTGTGGTATGTACGTGACCCCAACGACGTGGAAAGAAATTTGCGGCAGTACAGCCTCGAAAAGACCGGGCACCGAAGACAGTACAACTTTGTGTCCCTGGTACGGTACCGTTTCCTGAAGGACGAGGCTAGGTAGTGCGTGCGTATGTGTGTGTGCGCGCGCGATTGTGTGAAAGAGGAAAAAAACACGGGGAACTCAAAGATACCTTTCGTGCGGTGGATACCTGCGGCTGAGTATCTCTTCAAATTGCTTCAATTGTCTACACCTCGTGCCAGGCGCTTGCGAATATCGTACCGGATCGTGCAAGATCAGCTGTACGAATCGGTATCACACGGTACCGTCGAAGAATGAAACAGTCTGGCAAAGGATCGTGAGGAATAAAAAGGTGCGTTTTAGTTTGAAAAAGCTGATAAAGAAAATACTATTCACAAAATATAGTTATCCTGTAGTTATCTTTCCCCATTGAATCTTATTTGAAATTCACTTTATTATGTGCAAATAGACGAATCTATTTGGTACATCTTTACATAGAATTCTTTTCGTTAATAAATTTAATACTAATTTCAAATAAAATAAACATTATCTATTCAAAAAAGAAGATTTTTGCTTTTATTACGGACTTTATTTAGTAAACCAATGTTATCACAAAATAAGAGAAGAAATATATAGACATCTAATATTCGCAATAACGGCTAAATGAGATCTATTTTTAGAGATCTCAATTTTTCCGGACAAAAGCCTCTTTCACAATAAATACTACGGTACGCCGCGCAGTTCTATCTTACAGCAGTTCCCAGGATTTTTCTTTCGATCGAGCTTCAACTCATTTTTATCCAATAACCGTGCAATAAGCTCATATTCCCAGCTATCTAGTCGCCTCGATGATGTTTTAAAATAAATGTTTTTATCTCTCACTAAAAACACCTGAAAGGATAACAAATAATAGTTTCCCCTGATGTATTATCAGTAATATTTCCTTCATTTGCTTATAACAGGAAGTTCATAAAACTAATATGTCTGTTTTATAAAAAATATTGTTTATTCTTACATGGTACTATACATATTGTATGTATTTTTTGTTAAAGAAAATTTTTTACGCCTATTTAAAAGTACATCAGATCAGACAGATACTAGTCTACTTTCAAACTTATTGGAAACAGATTATTGGAATATTTATTGCGGGATCGAAGAATTTATTGGTTAAATTGATTTAATATAAATTTATCTTTGTATGCACAGAATATTATAATTAATTTGCGTATTCTTAGTTTCATTATCATCAATTGAGATAATTGACGTTTTGTCACACACACACACACACACACACACACATATATATATATACATAGTTAATTCAGATTTTGTCATATCAAAAGATGAAACTTTTTTGTGCAACACAAATGTTTGATACTTTAATAATTTTTCAGTACGCCGACAATTAATCAGATTGTTAATTAGGTTCTTTATGGATAACATAATTCAATACATTAATTTTATCACATCAAAGGGAACGATATAGTAACTTATTCTACTCTAAGCAAGACAGACGATAGTCATTTGATTGAGACCATCCTCTCGATAGCTTTCACGCTACTCTGAACATCTATGTTTCCCTCTACAGACCTTACTAACGAGATGCGTGAGACATATCCGATGTAGTGACATCTCGCTTATTATTAACTGAGTAATTGGCGAGAAAATCGATGTGAAACTTGCGTGAAATTGTATGTACAGGCAAGTTTCAACGAATTTATCGAGTAACAAATTAAAAAATAAATAGAAAACGTAAAAATAAAAATCTCACAAATATACGATATTAGAGGAGTTATTCTTTCGACCATATATTGGAGAATAAGTTAGAAAGCATCAATTATAGAATCGACATCGAAAATTGAAAAGATTTTAAACAATCAAGCATTGACAAACAGTTAGTTAAATGTAATTCTTTTATTGAATTTAATTAAATACGACAGAAATTTTATATTTAATACTTAAATATTACTAAAAATAATTAATATTGACAAACAAAATAAGACAATGATTATAAACTATAAAAGAAAAAAATTTTTTTCAGTTTTTTTTAAATTGATTAAATATTTTATACTCTTGACTTTTTTCTTTTTTCTAATCTCGCACTTTTCGTTGAGCGCAAACGGAATGACTTTGAAAAAGTCACTTGACGGGTAAAAACTTTTTAAATATCGTTGATATATAAACTATCGTTGATATAAAATTGAATGTCAATCTCTATCTGAAGAGTTTTCGCGTTGGCTGACGTAATAGAATTTAGGCTTATGTGTAGCATGCGTGTACACTTAATTATCAGCATATAAAACTATACGACGAGTTTTAATATTTGTGACAGAATGTTACCCGTTACCATCATTATATCATCATCTTGTCACTATATGAACATAGATATACCTCCATCAAGCATATCAATTTGTAATATCTGCAAAGCTATGCACCAGTTCTATTGAACTCCGTTAGTGTATGCAAATGCATGGCACGTAGTTGCACGTTTTGCTGTATAGCGATCGTTACAACGTTATCACAGAAAATAAAAAATCTCTCAAGAAAAGACTATACACGAGAGAAACAACGAATAATAGTTACTTATAATTTAACGCTATAACACATGGAATATAAAAATAACTATTTTTCTAATCTTTATTATAGATGATTACATTACATGTGTATTAATTGAGGATTCATTTTTTGATACAAATCATTAAACAGAGATATTTGACAAATATTATTTAAATCTTAAATTCTTTTTGTGTACAAAATCTCAATTCTTATTTTTTAACACGTTGTAAAAAGCTGTTTTCTCAGTTTTGTTAAAAGAAATTATAAATTTTAATTCGACGTAAATATGCCTTAAATAGCACAATCATAAAATGTTGAACGCGCATAGGCACAAACAGAAAATTTGTGAATCGCATGCTGCTATTTTTCTATGACGCGTCAATCGATCGTATCTCCCGGAACGGGGAATACCCGCGAAATTGAAATGGCCGTGGAAGATCACAGATGGGAGGAGGGAGGAATGCAATTTCTGCCGCGATACGAAAATTTTCGATGCCATTTCTGCCGTGCCACCATTCGAGGTTACTGAGCCATCGCACCTATTTCGTAGGATTAAATCTTTAGACATGTATTTCACGTTGATGTTTTGAATTAGAAAAAGAGAGATAACGACAATCATGTTGATGTATAAATAAAAAAAGTAATTACATATCCATATAAAAGGAAGCATCTTATTTCATTACTGCAGTTTAATTTTACAATTAAATATATCAAAAAATTATTACAAAACATATTATTAATCCTAACAGTTAGAATATTGTATTTAATGTAATTGTTATGATAGACATTAAAATTGTTAAAAGAATGTAATACGTGATAGTATTTTTTAAGCAGCAATATTTTTGACCTGGATCAAAATATAACAACATGGGATAGAACATAGCATAAATCTTTATTTACATGTAATAGTTACATACAATAATACATGTTATACATATAATTATATACATACAATAGTTACATACAATAATACATGCTATACTTATAATTGTACATACATATAAGTTTATTAATATTGACAACAACAATGTGTATATTTCCTAGTGCGCATAAACTAGAAAAATAGATGAAAATAATTTTTAAAAATATTACTCTTAGTTTTTGGATTATAGTATCACTAATCTCATATTATATGATCGTAATATAAAATAAATACAAAAATTTGCAATAACAAATTATAACAAATATTCTATTTCTTATAAATTTTCTCTTTATAAAAACATTTTAAATATTCTACTAAAGAGATGCGAGCTAAGCATATTGTGAACGGCTATTTTAACTCTGTGGATAGTAAAAAGTTGATTCTAACTTCATAAGCGAACAAGAAATTGTCATTAAGGTTTAACGCTTCAAGCACTAGTAAAACAAACTTTTGTTCCCCGTCGCGGTAAAAACCTTTTCACGTTCGTCGATAATTTTCACTATTGTAGGCGTTGAACTTAAAGTATGGCATGATAGATTGGCACAATAAAAAATAAATTATAAACCTATTTTACATATATTAAACAGAATTTTGTATAAGCCAGATACCATCTTGTACATAATTTCCATTTTTATATTAGCAATCTGATATAATGTAAATTAATATATACATATTTTTTAGTCACTGTTACTACACTTATATGTTTCGACGGAAAATTCTATTGTGTCTTTAGAGTGTACGTGTCGATAGACGATGACCGACTGGCCGTCGTCGTGGTGGAGATGACTACCAGGTTAGTGGCTCGTCCCGAAGACGACGACGACGACGACGAGGTCCACGAAGGGGCACGAGACTCGGCCGTGGGCTATCACTGCCACTGATAGAGCCGGCATCTCGTCGCAGCTCACATCGATGCCGACTGCCACATCCACGAAACAAGGTATACATCGTTGAATACGTTTCTGCAACATATCACAATTTTCGTGTACGTTTCATAAATCAAACAAAATAGACAAAAATTTTTTTGATTGATTAATTTTAGCTACAATTACTACTACAAGAGAATTTCTATATGGTTGAAAAATATATTTTTTTATACAAGACACTCGTACTATACTATATTCAAAGCTGTACTACACAAATTCTAGAAAAATGATAACTAAAGTCATATTATTATGCCTATATCATTATTATTACGCCATAATTATACAAAAATTTGAAATTTGGACAATTTTGACAAAGTCTTTAATTGGTTATTACGAAATTAGGATTTTAATAAGAATTCTTAAGAACATTATACATATAATATTTTACAAAAGATTAAATTCACGTCTTTTGCTATATTTGTAATAACTATATATGTACTTCCAAGTAAATTTACTCCATTAAAACTCTTGCTAAAAAAGTTTTAATTTGAAATATATATACAGAGAGAGAAAGAGAGAGAGAAAGATGCAGCAAGATAAAATCATTGTAATAGTGAGAACAAGTACGTTACTGGGGCAATATTAGTCGATTCACTTTGCTATCTTCCATCACTCTGTTCCCGATTCCATTTCACAGTTAATATACCTAATGAAACAAAAGAAGATGTTTTGTCGTCGTATGCCATGTTTAATTATACAGCAACTGGGTAAGGGGACTTCTTATCGATAACTTTCAGTGCTCAAGCACACCGAAACGGGTAGAAGGCAGAGACACGTTTTAATCAGAACAATTTGCTACTGAATCTCAAACAGATATGGTCGCATTAATCAACATTCCTCACAGAGAGCTGTGCAAAGCACATCTATAATTAGTCTAACAAAATAACGAGAGATTCACATGTTTGCTCGCTCAGAGAGTGTAACTACTTTGATGAGCAGAGAAACCGCATATAGTAAAATTCAGTGCAAAAGTAAAACGTTGATGCTTCTATTTTGAATAAACGTTGATGTTACCGCAATTTACATTAACAAAATAATTCTTGATGCTTGCTATTCTTTTAACCGTGTCGGTTCTCTAATGCAACATCCTGGGTCTATTCTGGAGAGATATCCGAAGTTCTTTAAAAATATACGTGTACTCTATGTGGAATAATATTTTTCTGTGCATTGCGTATCAGTGCTCTCAAATCGCCATCGTATCGAATCGTTATTGAAGAAACGATTTACCTCAAACCGTCGCAAACTGCGGAATTGTCAGCGGAAAATATCGGGGAACGGGGAAAGGGGAAAGAGGAGAAAGGGACATGGACGACTAGTGATCAACGTCGAGGTAGAGTCGGCGGTATTTAGGACTCATTGTTCGTCTAGTGGTTGCCATGCATTGACTCGATAGACGTGCCTGTAGCTTGGCTCTATCCATCATTTGTCCCCTTTCGCCTTTATTCATCTGCCCCGCAGCTTTTCTCGTGGGGAGGCACTAAGATCTCTTAACGGTACTTTATCCTTGCTCCCCGATCTCCCCTTGAACTTTGATATTTACCCTCTTGTTGTTGCTGCTTGCCATAAACGATTGACGCGGATCTACCGAAACAGTCGTGAGGTCATCTTTCAATACATAAAAATAGAATCATCAATACTTAGAAGAGAAGTGACAACACTGACCAAAGTACTTGTCGATATTTGTGACAATATGCACGCGACACACAGGCGTAAAGTTCGCTCTTGATTTGCATTCTTAGGATATCTCGCGAGACAACCTGATCAGTCATCGCGCGAATTCTACGTGAACACGTTGACGTCTCGGCGATTTAAAGAATTCAGAGAAATAAACGTGTCTCCTACCGCGATACCGAAATTCCATTGTAAATGCCTCCACGAATACTGATTTCTTCGCGTTCCTGCGAGCAAAGAACAGTAGCTTTTCTCCACACGCGGGCTCGCATGTTCATCTATACGTTCCATTTGTCTCCCCCTTGAAGTATCGATCGTCGAACGACACCGACTATGAAACTCTACGAAACTTGCGAGAGGTAACCTGTGGAATTGACAGAGCAAAAAGCTCCTTTCGGATCTGAAGTTCGGCGCGCGTGGAGAGATTTGCAAATTCGGCGCCCCCGAGCACGAACGCTCGCGAATATCCGTTCTATGCAAATCGGCAACCCGCATGGCAAACGCGTTCGCGGACGAATTCCGCATACGAATTACCGAAAAACGATTACTATTATACGCTACGCATGGATACTATAGCCTTAAAATTTAATATTCACACGTACATACACGTATACTAGGGAGAATGTATATTTACGTTGTGTGAACTATCGACATCGATCGTTTGTTTATTCTGTAGTACATGATGAATAATTCCAAAAAAATATTTGACAAATATTTTTTTGAATATGTGCAAATTCTTATTTTGCTATTCTTTTAAATTTTATCACAGTTTTATTATTGGATATCTTCAAAAGTTTTTTCGGGAAAAAGAGATTATGATAATTGTATACATATATAAATTAATTTATACATTACTAAATTAAATTTTTTAAATAGAAATGTCTTTATTTTCAAATAATGTAATATTTTTAGTTGGCATAACCTTTAGCATTTAACGTAACTAACATAAGCATTAAAAAAACATAAACGTTAGAACAAAAGCTTTGAAGAAATATACATATATGTTATGTATAATATGAAAGTTAATAGTATTTTTAATTGTTTTATCAAAAAAATTGTTTGTATTATGAAAAATATGTTCATTAAAAAAGCATTAACGGATCATGATTGAGATGTAATTTTGCTATCGGCATTTTCCTTCTTTTTAAGCTTCTGACAGCATAAGCTAAAGTACATGTAAATATTGAACGTGCATCATTTTATCTATAAATAAAATCACTGAACACACGAAACCAATTATAGATGCAATAACGTTTTTATATCAGATGAACAACCGAGCGGATGTCAATAAATTATCGCGCATTCTCTTCGCGTATTTCACAATAAATTCGATAAATTTACACCAAGGAAAAAGTAGAACGTTACAAAACTCTTATTGTCTTCAGCACAGATAGATTATAGCCTGAATTTTCCGGTCTCCGTCGAGGCCATGTTTATTCTGTCTATTGATCGCAGGATATCACAAATAGCGTATGTAATCTACTTATGAAATCTATAAAGTTATAGGAACAGACTGAAAACTCATCCCAGTATTCATCCGAACAAAAATGCGGTTACTCATTTTTATCTAATAAAAAGAAATGTTTATCCCAAACATTTTCCTCTGTGTTTACACGAATTAAAAATTTGGAATCGTGATATCAGGAAGTGCATATGAAATTTTAGAAAGATGATTAATACTAGGAAATGAAAATTGATAAATGTGTTGTGTGTGAATTAATCTACGGATACATTTATTTTGTTTAATTAAAATATGACAATGACAAAATATCATTAAAACAATTAAAAAACATTACGATATGAAGAAAACGATATATTGAATACGTTATGGTCCAATCAGTATCGATTGATGAAATTTGTGGCGGAATAATGTTATTGGAATATTAAAATCGTTTCTCGATAATTCTCTTTGCCATATTCATGAGCTTTCTTTCATCGTGTTCATCGATCATATCAGTCAAGGTAGTCAGCTGTCTGAGGAATTAACAGCGAAGTCAGCACTTACGTAAATGTTCTAGCATAGCTTGACATATATAGAGTCGAAAAATTTTGCAGAATATTGAAACTGTGAAAAATTCTTTTTCGACTTACTTGACTATGTTGGAATTCGACATCTTAATTAAGGATAAGTATTTCTTTGAAATACAATTTTCGATTTTTTTTTTACTTTAATTGCACATTTGCAATGAATGTCTTTCAACAGCAGTACTTTTAAAACTTGTTTTCAAATATTTTATTTTTTGCAATATTAAAACAAAGCATTATTTTAAAACAAGCTTATTTTTCTTTCTACACAATCTATTTATTTGCAAATCCTTAAACTAAGAGTATTAAATCTCACATACAAACACACACACACACACACACACGCAAAATGATATTTTGAATTACTCTCGCTACAAATAAAATTTTTTTTAGTTTCACTACATTTTTTTTTAATTTCCTTGCATTTTCTCCTTTATGAAAATGCGCTTCTGAATTTTCACTTGACCTCTATATGATCTTACAGCTGAAAGTACGTACTTGAATATCTCTTTTTATTCATCTGCACATTTGTACGTATTGTATTAATTTCTATAAAGAGACATTTTTCTTCAATTTCTTCAGTATATCTCTATTAAATTTTTTTAATGATTTAAACATTATTAATGATTGAAACATTATTTTATCGTACACAATATAATTAAATATATTATAATTAAAATGATATAACAAAAGATTTGGAGTTAATCATTAAAAATATCCGACAAGAGATTGCGGTTAAGATCTTGTTTGCAACAGGAATCAAACGCGGCTCAGTTTTATCAGCGGAAAGAAGCGAGTTAGGAAATCTGATAAAGGAAATAAAGTAAGAGGCTTCAGGTGCATCGGATCGTTAAAAGGAAACCGAAAAATCTTCTTCGTCGACAAGCACACGGCAGTGAAATCGGAGAGGCGATCGACGAGGCGTAAAATTCGTTGATAATAGACCTGGAGAACTTCTTTTTCGTCTGCACATGAAATTGCCAAACGAATATACCAAAAGCTGCTCAAAAGAGAACAAAAGCACTAAGCAATGAAATAAAAAATGTTGACTCTTGAATTGTCAAATAATGCATTACGGTACGTCATTCGAATTGATCATCACTTCGTGAGTTAATTTTCGATGATTGACTATTGTTATTATATACTTAGAATATTTTATGTCTGCTGTTTGTTATATCAAATTTATTGACTACATTTTGGTGCATAGTAGTTAATCATTTATGTGGACGACGAAAGCTTTCAAAAGAAGTTCCAAGTGGAGCATACATTAGAAACTGGGTCATATTTGGATCATCTTATTTGACTACTTATCTCTTTCTCTTTTTTTTGCATAAAAATTATGGAAAAATGGATATTTCGAATATTATTTCCAAATATTTATTGAACGTTTCCAGATTCTCCCGATAAAAAGTGTTTTAATTACCAGTATCTCTCTCGCCATTGGAAATTCTTATAACCTACGAAGTTATTTAAAGTTGCCAAACTTTGCGACGTAATTACCGCGTTACAACTTTCGGTTAATATTCCTCATAGAGGAAGGAACGTCAGCCTCTTATACGCGTAAAATCTTTTGACACTAAAATACACAAGGCATACAGGTTGAAAAATATTATTCAAATTTATGGGAAGGATTCGATAATATTAACATTATAAAGCGTGTGAATAATTTCCAAAAAAGCATATCTAATATTGAGAATGATTACAAAAATTAAAATTTATTAGTTCGTAATTTACAAACTGTTTAAAGATTGTCAACAGTTTATAGCAATAGCATTTATATTTATTGTAATTTGAAAGTGAAAAGTTATTGAATTTTTGGAACTTTTTGTATTTTTTTTCAAACTAATAATTGATTGTTATGAAAATAAAAGTTTTGATAAACTTTGAAAAGAATCGTACTACATTTGTATGCTGCAAACCAAGTCGGCTAGGAATTCTATAAACGAAATTTTGATTATTTGTCGACTACGCATTGCCACAATTACAATTAAGGTCCACGATGGAGCTTACTCCATCATCCGCATTCATTTTATTGACATCGCAATATTGGGGATATTGATCAAATGTAATATATGTAGGTACGTTGCGGGAGAAGCAGCAATCTATTAATCACGTTAACTTTACAGGACGCAGTGAGTCTGTACCACAAACTGAAACTAAGCTACTTATTTATAAATAAACGTATATTCTCGTAAATGGAATTAAATAAATGTAAATTACATTATTATTTGAATGTTGTCAAAATTGCTGTTGAAATTATTTGCTAAAGCACTTCTATTATTTATAAAATTAATTTCAAGTCTTGCCGTGTTATGAATGTAATATTAATCAGAATTTATTAGAAACAAATATTAGCACAAAAGTATGCGTGCATGTAAGTTACACAAAATCAAGATTGAATATTTAAATAAATATGTTAAAATAAAATATAATAACGATGAAACGCATCGGATTAATTTATTTCTTGGAACAGATTGAAAACTGAAGCTTAATTCTTCTGAGCTTTATTTGTTATCAGCGTCGTAGGTTTATTATCAGGGCATATGTGCACGAAATGTAATTTGCACTTGGTGTAGATCAGAAAGATTATTACAGCACAATAGAATTTACATAGTTTGTAGGGTAACGGGTAGCTTTAGATAGCGATACATAGATAGTTATACACGAATAGCAAATAGGGATCCCCTTCTCCGAAATCGCCTAGCAGTGAGTCAACTCGAACTGAGATCCGATCATATATAGCCCGAAGTCGAAACTAAAACAGAAACTCGAGCCGCGCGCATCATCTGTCGAATTAAAATGTTATAGCCGAAAAGCATATTAGAGCTATTAGCGCTACTATATGTGTCAATATTATTTTTAGCAACCGCGCATCGCTGGAATTTTAAATGGGCGATCTTGCTTTTAGCTCGCCGCAGTTTGCAATAGTTGACGGCATAAAAGAGTTCTCTTTGAAATATTTTGCAATAACAACTTGTAGCGATGTAAATTTATAAGATATATGTATATAAATATGGAAAGAATGCTGTTTAAAGATATATATAAACATCTGAAATTGACGTACTTATTAGCTTATTTGATTTTGCTAGGTATAACGTGCAAATTGAGAGTCACTGAGGCTTTTAAATCAGCCCCTTCCTCCCCTCGTATGCTGTTTAGTTGCTCGTTCTTCGGCCAGATAAGCCACGTTAAAAATACACCGGGACATCCCTGTCTCTTCTGTCCTCTTCTGCTTCGCGAAGATCTTTGCCCGGCCACTACAATGCTTTCACGCCGCTCTTCTTTCCTTTCTCATTCACATCACTTTTCCCTTAATCTTCCTTTCCCCTCTTTATCTCCCTCATCCTCCTTTTTTTTTATCCGTCTCCTCAGCCGTAGGAAGAAATGTCAGCGAAACAGCCGAACGAAATCTGTTAAAGGTATCTTTTCATTGGATCTGATGGCGTAAGAAGAAGGTAGTTTGATGGATAAGCGTTACGGCAGAAAAATTCAATGTCAGCGCAAATGTAATTTAGGACGAAAGAAGGATAACGCAGCATAGTACAGACAGAGAAATAGACGAATGGTTTCCCCATTCCTGCATAAATCCCTTAAGAATATTTGAAACAGAGATTGAGAGAGAGTATAGAATCAAGAGTAATATGACATTAATTTGACTAACTTCTAGAATTTGCTGCGAAATTTTCGAATAAGATACCTCTAACTTCGTACCGTAAATACAAACAAGTTGTTAATTTTAACAATTCTAATATGGGTAATACATATGTAGATTAGAAATTGAATATTGCAAATAAGATTGTATTTTTAATGAAAAATTTGTTATTTTATCTTTCTATTTTTAAAGTCAAATTTCATATAAAAAATAAATTACTTTAAATATTTGATTTATCTTTTCACAAATGACTTTCTTCTTAATTACTTTGTGATTTTCAAGAATTTCCATTCCTGCAGCGCAACAACTAAACGTATTAAATATAGGTACATTGACGAATGCTATAATACCTACACAGATACATAAAATAAAATTAATAATAAACATAGTATTTCCCAAATGTTCAGCCAATTTGTAAAAGATTAGTTGTAAATTTAAATATGGAAATAATCGAATATACATATATGTATATACATATAAGAGCGATATGATGTAGCAGAATATGTCACATGGTGATATTTTCCACGCTTGAAAGCATCTAATAGGTCATGTTAATTAGAGGCACGCTAACGGATGTGAATTAACAACAGTATGAATATTCTTCTCTCTCTTTCTCTCTTCCCCCTCTCTTATTTTCTTTCTTTTTCCTTCCCTTTCGTGCATATTTTAATCTTATTTTAAAATATATCTTTTTAGAGAATTTTAATCAATATTCCCCTCATTTTAGGTGCTCATTTTATTATTAATAATGCTACTTACATATGCACAGTTGTAAAAAATTAAAGTTTTGTTAAAACTTTAAATTACAGTCACATATAAAAATATCGCCGTTACAGGAAACACTTAACACGGAAATTATGTACAAATTTACGAAAGAATAATCTTAAATAATTTTTGCATAATTGTTATTTTTAAAGTGCTTCTAACGATAATTTTCATACGTTTGGTGCTATCAAAGAAAATTTTAGAAAATTAATGAAATAAGATCTAAAAGTTTTATATCAAAAATTTAAAACATAATTATTTTATTTCTTTAAAAGGATATGAAACCTCGCAAATATGAAATATTATTAGACAAAAGCAGGGTATTTCTTTTTCGCCTTGTTTTGTTCCTTCTCGCCTCGTCACGAACCACTCGATTCTTTTCATGTCGGCCGCTGCAATAAGCCATCTTAAAGCTCACTTCGAGGTTCTCTTCTTAAACCTATTTCGATGAAAGGAGTAAGGACCATGAGGAACAAGGACAAAGAATGTAAGAACAAGCGGGCAATGAGATCAGCCGAACTCAATGTGCGTTTTCGAACGTATTAATGCACCATGACAAAATGAAAGAAAAACTAAAATAAAATTAAAAAAGGAAAAAAGTGAAAGGAAACGTCGCCAACGATTATGTCGTCGCGAAACGTCCTTTCGCGCCCAAGGTGACCCAGAAAGTCATTTGAATTTAACCTGGGCTACGATAAATGGCAAACTTCGTCGACAAGCAGAATAGGACGTAGATTAACTGCGCTTTGTACCGTGGATCGATACAGTTACAATGAAACAGAAAGGCTAATGGATTTGAAACATGAATTTTTACGTTCGGCATTCCGCAAATGGAATATCCCATTTTGGTCGAGGAAGAATTCCGCAAATCGACATTTCAATATAATCCGGGAGTAATTGTGTGTTGGACTAAATTTTATATTTTATATCAGTCAAATACACCGTAGTGTATCGTCTTTCTTGCTTCACCACGTACGTACAATACGCGAATTTGCTCGCGAGGATTACCATACGCAAAGTAACTTGCGATTTCGTGCCCAATTACGAAATGTAATA